TATTCAACAATTTAACAAAAAATAAAATTAAACTTAAAATATTCATCAATTTTGCAAAGAAACATAAGATATCCTAAATATTTATATTAAATGGTAATTGTAATCCAACGAATCTAATAGTTGTAACTAAAAACTCAACGCAACGCAACCTTTGAACTTTTTTTGAATTTATATAATGCGTGTTGGAGTGTCGGGGAGTGTCGGGAAGTGTCGGACACGACACGTCAGAGTTTTTGAAGTGTCGGTGCTTCCTAGGTTTAATGAGTTAATCAAGTAACCAACTGGTATATGAACTTAAAAAAGGTTAAAAATTCATGCTTTAACGTTGGAATGGGTTAAAAACCCAACCTTTGGAGTGGTATCTCGCGAAATGCAAAAACTGCATTCTGTCGCGAAATATCCAGATATTGATATCCGGATATGCCCCCGACAAATATCTGGATATTCTGAGTTTTCGTGAACAGTGAAGGTACTGTTCATACAGAACTGAGTTATGGGTTTGTGGACCCTATGTTGATGAAGTTGAACTTCTGTAATAAATAATGTAAGTCAGAATCTAAGTGATTAAGGGCTTGTGGCTTCATGAGAAGCCTAAAGACATGGAACGTATGGAAAGGCGTTGTCTTTATATTGTATGAGTGTAGAGTTGAATATTGATATGTTAATTGGTCCATAACAGATTGTGATTCTGCTGTGTTTGGACTTTGAGCTTATGTGGACTCTTGGCATTGGATAGTTAGCTTGCAAGGTAAGCTTTCGTGTCCTCGGTTTAGTCATTGTTGGTTCCACCATGTCCCATGGGAGGATGGTTTATATGCATGAAGTTGTTTTCATGTATTGTTTTGATAAATGCTATTGAGCTGTTATATGCGAGTGCCTTTATGATATGCATGTGGTGTTCCACCTATAAGGTAAGCCTGAGTATGTGGAGACATACAAGATGGTGAAGCTGTGGGTGAGGTGCAAGCGGTGTTCCTTGTACTTATTGTGGGGTTGTAGACGTACGTCCTGCATTTCTCTGGCCAGTAGAATAGTTACAACACACATGGCATGATTATCTGTTACACTGCATAGTTTTGGAACTTATATTGGATTATTGCTTTTGAACTTATATTGCACATGTAAGTGAGCTTGGGGTGGAAGATCCTTGAGGACCCCTTGTCTTACTGAGATTTCATGTTTAGAGATCTCACCCCACGTTTGGGGATGCTTATTTCAGGTTCAGGTAACTTGGGAGCTGATGCCTCTAGCGGCAGGAGGCCAGAGCTTAGCTGATATTGATGTTATATGCTGACATGTTTGGATGCTGGATTATATCTACTGATGTTATGCTTTTAGCTTGTTATTACTATGTTGCTGTTGTTGAGACTTTTGTGGGCTTTGTTGCCTTATTTGGTGAGCATGAGGTTTGTCTATGCCACATTGATGTTAGTACTTTTAGCTTGAGTTGTATAAACTATCAGAGTTGTCTGGTCTACGTGTTGTAGTTCCGTGACTAGAGACATATTGATGTTAATTTTGTATTGAGGTATTTCAGTTAGCTGTCTAATTGCAATTTACCTATAGGCAATATTTTGAAAATGATTAAGTAATCAAGTTGGTAATGATTAACGACATCATAATTGAAAAGAAAAAAATATTCCACATTTTTAATTAAGCGCAGCTTAATACGATGACATGATAACATACCGGATATATACGAGGTGTTACAGGGGGGATTGTATTTTTTTAACTAGCTCTTTATACTAGGGGTGTTCGCGGTCTGGATTGGATCGGTTTTGGAAGCAAAAATCATCTGATCCAATCCCTTTGGTTTGATCATATCATCATCCATTCGGTTTTGATTTTTTTTCAAATTCGATCCGATCCAATCCAATTTTTTTCGGTTTGGATTGGATCGATTTTTGGTTTTTTGAAAATCTTAAAATTTATTTCATGATTATTGTGCAAATAACATCTTTTGTATATATTGGCTTTGTAATTTTTTTTGAAATACAAAAGCATTAGTAAACTATAATTTAATTTTTTTAATATTGGCAATGAGATATGATGCTCTACAAAGATAAAATTTTGTTGATGAGATATGACTAGATTTTTTTTTGGTTTAGTTGATGGGTTAATGAGTCTTGAGTTTAGAAATATTTAGGCTATGATTAGGGAAATATCCAAGTAGGTAGAGGGAAATTAATATATTGGATCGGTTTGGATTGGATCGGTTTTCATCAACCCATCCAAAAATCGATCCAATACAATTAAAATTTGAGATTTTTAATCGGTTTTTGATTTTTCGGTTTTTGATTTATTCGGTTATCGGTTTTTCGGTTCGGTCACCGCGGTTTGAATTGGTTTGGATCAGTTGATGAACACTCCTACTTTATACCATATAAAGAATCAATTCAACCTTAAAGCTTAAGTTGTTGAGTGAGATTACAATAATGATTTTATATAACTCTAATACCCATTAATTTGGTTTCGGGTTTCAACCTCTCCACCCTCTATAGAAATTATGATCATTAGGAATCAAACTTACTACCCTTTGGATATATCAAATCCTGGGATCTAACTGAGTTATCACTAGACCAATAACTTTTGAATCTTTACTCCTAATTTTTAAGTCATACCACTTTAGATAATATAGGTGCATAAATATTTATGATCTGAATTAGTTCACACCAACTTAACACAAATTAAAATCAACTTTACGATTACCAAAAAAAAAAAAAAAATCAACTTTACACCCAATATAACTTTTTAATGGATGAATATTTCACAAACTACCAAGATCAAGTGTGCATCTTCTAGATCGTGTTCATGCATAAAGTTACACCTTAATCCAGGTTTTTTTTTTCTTATTCTATTAATTAAAAGTAAACTCGTACAATATTTTTCAGATAAATAAAAGTATTTATTATTTATCATAAACATCTAATTATTTAAATTTTTATAAAATTTGTGTGCCATGAGATCAGCATGATATCTAAGTATCATTTTAATATTTACATTCATTAATATATTTTTACAAAGAAATATATATATATGAGGCAGGATCCTTTGCATTGGGTGTCAAATTTGAAATTTGACACTTCATCTGAGAGCCGTTAGATCAAAAAAGAGCAACGACTATGATTTATAAGCATGTGATACCATTGATCTTTTTTGATCTAATGGCTCTCAAATGAGGTGTCAAACTTCAAATTTGACACCGGTGTCAAATGATCCTGCCTATATATATATATATATATATTGGTATTTGATAATTACATCTGTTCCAACAACGTCCGCGTGTGTTTCTAACAACACATAATTATAAAGTGATATTTATAAATGCAACCATTAAATCATAAGATCTAGGAATGTTGATATAGTTTGATACATAAGTGAATTTTTTTTATAATATCATATAATGATGTATTAATACATTGTTTAATGAGTTTAGCAACTCATCTATTATTAAATTCTTCAAATAATATAATAACACACTAGTAAAGAAAAGAATTATTTGATAATCATGTTGATGATAAGAGCGACATATAGTTGCTAACACAGAATTATTTGGACCGTAGTTAGCTGAAAGTGAAACTGATGCAATCTCAAATGGTCTAAAAGACAGCTTTGGGGTAACTCCTCTTCTCTCCTTCCTTTTATTTATTTATTTTTTTTGTTTTTAGTACACCCTTCTTTTTATTTAATATATATGTTACTGGTAAATAAACTATAAAGTTTGTATCTCTTTTGTCATTTCAGAAGCCCAAACCATATCGGAAGCTTAAACTATATAAGGTTAGACAAGGATATGCCTATGGAAGTAAAGAAGTCCACATATAGAGGGGTAGAGAGAGAGAAGACTTTGTATGGATATGGATGCATAATTGAATAATTCTTAGGTGAAACTGAGAAGATAAAAAAAAAATATATAACAGGGTTTGGTTAAATGGAGTTGATGGCATTATCATCACATTAAAAGTACATATTGAAAAAAGGAACTTGTTGGTTTCTAATAAATGGTCAAAACAAGCACAGTGGTGGTGAATAATGCCTTATCACAAGCTACGAGTCAACACTGTACAAACTTGTATAAAATACATCCACAGGGTTTCATGACTTAAATGTATGGCCTAGAAACAACCACCACAATTGGAAAAACCCAGTTCCAATCACCAAACACTTCACGACACGCTTTTTCTTTTTTCAACTAAAAAATTAATAAAAAGAAAAACCCTCACTAGAAAAATTCTTGCGTACACATTGTTATCTATTAGAAACACAGTTGTTGAGATTGCAAAGGGGTACTGTATGGGCAGGGACATCTGTTCAAAGAAAATTTAAAAAAAAATAAAAATAAAAAATAAAATTGAAGGTACGGAATTTTTTTGTGACTTGCGTGGTGCAAATTCTCCACTTTCTAATCAAGACCCTTCAATTCTTTTGACATGGACAATAATAGAGAGGGCCTAGCAATTAAAGGCCTTCAATGAATCTGCAAAAGTTAGCAGGCTTCAGGTACTATGAATTCTTCGCTCAAAGGGAAACTCAGCATTCAATTTAGACTCAAATTAAGCAAATGAGAGGCTCATCCCTAACCATGATAATCAAACCATTACATGAGCTCTCTTTTTCATATCTGATCCTTATCCCACAGAAATAAAAAAAACAAAAAAAAACTACGAAACTAAAATTAATTTGTGTAATATTTCTCATGAAGCAAAAACCTCACCTTAATTACCATAAAATAGTGCTTAAGAACTATATGTCAATTTAATTAAAACCTTTGCGTCTCAGATTTAGATTCCAATATCATTTTTATATCACAAATCTCATGCAAGAAACCTACTTCATATATGTCCCATGCATTACACGCGAATATATTAAAGAAAGAAAAAGAGAAAGAGGACATGAAAAATGTGCGAATTTGTTATTGGTGATTCTATTTATTTATAATTTTACACCTAATTATATAGTTAAGTCCAAGAAAAAAAATATAATTAAGCAAATGAAAACGGAGTGGACCTAATAATTATTATAGCTTGAAACTTAGATTATGAGATTAGTACATATTGAAGTTACATAGTTCTATATTCACAGCTTGATGAAAAGTAGAAACACTCATAAACACAGTCTTTGCAAAGCTACTACTACTACTACTACTAAAACTATAAACACCAAACACTTTTGACACAAAAGTCTCCTAATTAATACTAATTTTTTTTCTTCTGGGTTTTTTGGGATGCGTTGTTTCTTTCTCTCTTTCTCTCTCGTTCTTTAACACATTACATCCTTGAGAAGCTTGTACCTGCGTGTGGCGGTTCTCGGCGAAGGTGTTGGGCTCTTCCCCTTTTCGGAACCGCTCTCTTCACGATCATGCTGCTTGATTTTCTCGCCGGAATATTCTGAACGGGTCGTCGTTCCGGCGTCGTTTCCGACCACCGGTTTCTTCGAATTGGAGCCAATAATATGTCTTGAGTTTTTCTCCTCACTTTGGCACCAATCGCACAGTTCTATCTCAGGTAATTCCCCATAGTAGTTACTACAATACCTGAAATATTAATATTTAAGCTTAAAGCTTAATTCATATCTAAGATAATAATATTTTATATGTTGAATGCATGGTATGTATGAACATACAAGTTATCATGATAATAAAGCTAAAAAAAATGGTTATGATCATTATATATATGTATGCATCATATGATACATGTATAGCTTGATGTTTTATATATGAAGATGGAGAATCAACGAAAGATGTAGTTACATGTATCTATCCTATTAAAGATTATTCTATTATGATAAAGAAAGATGGGGTTGATGTATGTATGTGTATATATATGTATGTATGTATGATGATGATGATTGAGAAGGAGTAAAAAAACCATACGAGTGTTGGAATCGGTGGTGGCATTTGTTGCAGCGGAAAAGTTTGTCAGGGAAACCAACGTCACCGCACATGCAACACACGGTTTGAAGATCCACCATAGCTTTGAAGCCAGAATAGATGCAGAGGCTCAGAGATGAGAGAAAGAGAAGAATTTGGAAGTTGAGAGAGAAACTCAGAAACCCAAATAACACAAAAACTAAACACAGATCAAATGAAGGAGAATTTGTATGATAACCGATGAGGTAAAACTAAAAGGAAGAAAGGAGAGAGAGAGAGAGGTGAGAGACTTTATATAGAGAAAAGGAGAAATGGGTTTGAGACGGTGTATTAATCTGATTTATTATAATAATGTTTGTTTTGTCCATTTACAAAATTAGGAAATAAACACTCATATTAAATAATCTCATAAGTCATAAGGTTATTCTTTTTTAATCTTTTTTATTATGATTTTTTATAACCGTTCGTTTATCTTTAAATGACTTAGATCATCTCATACAATTTTATATAACATGAGAAAATGGATTTTCTCATATATATGAAGGTAAACTAGAGGTTGCTTGCGGTCGTTTTCAGTTAAGACAGGCAACCCAGAGAGAAAAAGAGAGAAAGAACCTTAAAAAGAAAGAGAGAGGAAAAGACACTAGTGTCCCATGGATGAGCTTGCTTGAATATTATTTCCTACCTATTCTTTTATTATTATTATTTTCATTGTTTCCTTTTCAGCAGTTTTTGTCCGGTTTGAGTTTTGGAATTTGCATATAAAATTGGTAAGTTAGCCATCAAAGGTGGTAGTCGTAAAAACCACGTACGCTCCTCACACCGTGTGAAACACGCATCACAAATTATAGATTCTTGTATACGGCATTAAAACAAGGGAATTGTATTTCTTCTTTCATTGTACAAGAAAATTTCTGCAGCAATACAAAAAAAGGTAGAATATGTTGATGGATTCTAACATTTTTTTTAAAAAAAAAAATATGTGGATCTGACTCTTTTTCTTTCTGTAACATCAAAAAAAATGATACGCAGAAAAAAGGCACCCTTAAAATAGTAAAATTATTAATCTTTTACGTATATATAAAAATATATGTGATTTTTTTTTATTTTTTTTTCTTATTTTCATATATCTTATACAAACTCCGCATATTTTTATATAAAGAGAAGATAACTATATTTCCTATAACACAATAAACATTAATCTCTAAAAGAAATGTGATAATAATTTCACAACGAAAAGTTTTAAAACTGAAACCGACCAATTTGGCTTAGACTGAAACGATTCATCATCAGCTGACACAACGTGGAATTAATGCATATCATCTTCTTCGCATTCTCAAATCAATGAAATCAAGGATGTCGATCCTTGGCATCTAGTGGTTTAAATATTACAACAGTAATTAATCAGTATTTTGTTATAAAAGATAATTAACGTGCTATTTCTTGTATTTTAATAATTCGTGAATTTTAGATGAGATATCTAATTGTTCCGATTATAACTCCGGATTCTATTAGTGGGCTTAAGACTGGGACAAGCTTTCCACTTTGGAAAGACCTCGTCAGCTAGGGCTTTGACTCGGGTCATGTGTAGGGGTGTGTATGGTCACATCGAGTTAGATTTTTGTGTCGACTCAACTCAACTTGATTTTTATAAATCAGGTATTTTAACCCGATCTGCTTTAAATTGATCCAAGTCAGGTCTGACTTGGTTTGAATTTTTTTGAACTAATTCAAAACTGGGTCGGATCTGACCTGACTTGATTTCTAAAGTGGATCTGACTTAGTTTCAAAATCATGTCAAATCTGACGTGACCCATTTCTGACTAGGTTTCAAAACCTATTTTTAATTTGATTTTTTTTATAGTGATTGATTTAATTTTTGAATTCATGTAATTTATTTATTTATCCATATGCTCTTTACAAATGTTGCACTACATACTGGTCTTGTCACATTTAACTCAATCAACTTTGACGAGTTTTCCATATCGCGAATTTAGATTTGAATAAATTCTTATTTTCCTTTAATTGCTTTGCAAATCTGTGGGTTGATTTTCTTCTCAAGGAAACAGAAGAGAGAGAAGAGGGAGTTAGCAGGAAGTACAAGTAAATGGATGGACAATTTACATGATAAAAGTCTAAATACTAATTTTGCTTCTCCACCACTTTCAAATCAGATGTTTAGCCCTCTAACAACAACAATTAATCTACCCACCAATCAGAACAATCCTCTTCTTCGTGGGTATTTTCAGCATTTTGAACAAGTTGGTTCTGAGTTCTTAACAATTCCTCTTTCACCATCAGATAGAAAAACTACAAGTTCAAAACTTCTTCCCAGATACTAATACACATTCTTTTATGTAAACTAATCAAAGGTATAAATCGTTGTTAGATAATAGATTATAATCATCAATTAATTCTTTCACATTAATAATTGTATTTTATTCACACTAGTGTAACAATTTTTTTTCATTGCCTTGGTCATCTCGTGTGGATATCATTACATAATTTGAAACTTTGGAACATTATCATGATGTTTATGTCATATAATATCCACTCATCTCGTGTGTTGTGTGTGTATACATAAATACAGTGTTTTCCAAAAATAAAATACAGTTTAAACAAGAACTGAGATTGTAATTTTTTGTTTTCTTTCTTTTTCACATAATGGATATGGGTCAAGTTTTGGGTCAATTATTAAATAATTCAGGTCTAAAATTGACCCAAATAAAAGTGGGTTAGTATTTAAATTCAGTTCAAAAAATAGGTATTTATGGGTCAGGTCAAGGTAAGATCAAGGGCAGGAAAATTGAACTAATTTTTTTGCACACCTCTAGTCGTGTGTCTACACCCACTATCTTTCCCCATTGTCTGACACCCACGATTACCATATGGGAGAAACTGCTCCAGGATCACTATTATCACAATAGCTGCTCCAAAGGATTGTATAAATAGATGAACAATATACATGGAGAGGGCAGTTCATACTCATCACATTCCTCAACCAACTCTAGTTCTAAAGCACTAATTATTCCCATAATTCACACACACCCTCTTCTCAGCATACCTATTGGGCTTTGGCTAGAGGTGATGGACTCATCTTTGTCAATTATTTCTTCCACTTGTGTTGTGACTCAGCAAGTGCATCGGTCGTTAAGTAATAAAGTGTACCGGAGTATGAGATCGTTCCCACGAGAATTGATTTTCAAACACTAGTTCACTAATTATGGTTTAGTTGGACAACCATGATTGAGATGAATAGAATTGAAATTGAAAACAATTAATAACATGTAAGTTCAGAATTAAAAAGCAATTAAAGAGATGAGTTGTTTTGACAATCAAGAATACACGTAGTTAAGGTTTCGACTTTCCCCAATTTCCTCTTTATGTTATAAATTAAACAATTAAGAATCTGCTCTTAATACAATGTCAATCAATTCTTTCTAAATTAACTAAGGCTCAATTCCTTGTTACCCTAATTCTATGTGATCTTGAAAGAATCCTAGTTTCTCGATTGTTCCTCAAGAAAACAAGCATAATGATCAAGAATTTAAAGATTGCACAATTGCCCTATGTCTATTCCTAGATCACAAGGATTATGATGAATTTATCAAATCAGCGTTCATGCACCAACATCCCTATTATCATACAATTCCCTTAAATCAATCTTCAAGGAGCAAACTCATTGAAAGTATTAAAGACAAATAAATTCATTCAATGATAGAAAGAAAAGAATTCAGAAACAATTTAATTCATAACACAAAGATTCAATTGGGTTTCATCTTCCCCTAACTACATAAAAAATCGCATAGTATATTGAAATTAATAACAATGGAAAATAAATACAAATCCTCAAACTCCATTGATGACAGCTTGTTGAATCTTCAGAGTTTCCAGCGCCTTTGTGAGTTCCACCCGCTTCCAACGCTCCAAAGCATGAAAAACTATTTCTCTCTCTTTCCCTTCAGTAATCTCCAATCTCAATTGATCAAAAGTTCTTTTTTTGAATGTGTCGGCCCTCTTTATATAGAAGAAACCATATCATTTTATTTTCTTATATGATCTTCATCAAATCTCAAACCATATCCTTAATTATATGATTTCACGATTTGGGTTTGTCTTGATTAGAAGATGAGCGTTACAATGCTCATCAGAGCGTTATAACGCGCTCAGGCACAAAAACTTTCGGGAGGAGAGCGTTTTAACGCTCTACAGCGTGTTGTAACGTGCTTATTGAAGGAAAATTTCTCATGTGGTAGCGCGTTACAACGCTCAACAGAGCGTTAAAACGCGCTAAACCCGAAGCTTCCTCCTCTATTTTCCAGATAGTCAGAGCATTGCAATGCTCATTTCAATGTTGTAATGCTCTCCTTCATCCTTGAGTTTTGTTCTTTGAGTGCTTTCCATGACCTTTCTGATCTTCCATTCCTTTCTCAAAATCATTTCTTTATTCTTGCTTAATTCAAGTCTATTTACCTTAAAAATCAAATTAGAATGAATCATGTTAGATTAAACTCAACTTTACATACTTTTCCACTATAAACCTAAGTATCCATGTCTTAGACTATGTAAATCATGCAATATCAACACTATAAACATGATAAACTATAGGTTTATCAACTTGCTCTGTAGTTACAATTATCAGCTCCCTTGTTGGACATTGGTGTTCTTTCTCGAACACTGATATATATATATGGGCAGGATACTTTGACACTGGTGTCAAATTTTAAAATTTGATATCAAATCTTATCCGTTGATTTTCGTCAATCAATAGGTATCATTTATTGAGAATTAATATTAATTAATAAGTTTGATTCCTACTAAATGATAATTATTGATTGACGAAAATCAAAGAATAAGATTTAATGTCAAATTTTAAAATTTGATACCGGTATCAAACGATCCTATTCCATATATATATATATATATATATATATATATATATATATATATATATATATATATATATACACTTTTCCATATCCACCAAATTATTTACCAAAGACTTGCCTATTAAGAGATTAGAAAAAGTAAAACTCACTTTATAGGAGATTCGACAAAGTTAGTTAACTCAACAGGTTAGATTGAAAGTTACTTGTATGAATTAGGTTGGCACGATCCGTTTAACTTCACATAGTTTTGAGGAAAACCCTATTTATCTGCACCGAACTCACAACCTTTGGTCTCCCCAATGAATTTATCTACACCAACCAATCCAAATCCAAGCAAATACCTCCTACCACTTAAACCATTAGCAAATGTTCTATAAGTTGCATATTAGTTAAGATTCTGATTTAAATATGCGATTTTACGATTTT